TGTAATTTACTTAGTGAGGGCAAAATTGGTATTTAAAAAAATTAAATGGCTAAGGGGAGAGCTTCTATTTGAACACACCAATTCTACTTTTTACACATCCTTCTTAGTTCACACACCTTAAAAAAATAAATAAATAAAATTTACTTATTACACACACTTTTATTCCAATTATATCCTCATACACACAACTTTCCAACCCTTCCAATCCATACACCAGCGACCACCTCGCCAGCGGCGACGTAGCACCACCGTTCCCTTTCACTTCCCGTCGCCATCCCCACCCCTTACTCCACCACCGGCGACACTATCGCGACCCCCACCTCATCCCCTCTCTCTCTCTCTCTCTCTCTCTCTCTCTCTCAGTCGCGAAAATGGGGTTTCGGAGGTTGATAGTCGAACCAAATTTGTCTTCTTTCAGATTTAGGTTCTCCTCTCTCTCTCTCTGTGGGTGTGCAAAACTGAGGGTCGCGAAGGGGTGGGAGCTGTGGCGGCGACGGTGTTGTGTTCCGAAGTGAGGGGTTACGGGGGTGGTGGGGAGGGTGAGTGAGCGACGAACGATGGGGTGGCATGGGGCTTCGATTCGAGAAAAGGGAGGCTGGAGGGAGGCGATAGAGGGAGGCGACGGAGGGAGGAAGGAGATGATTGGAGGGGAGGCTCTGTATTGGGTATTAGGGTTAGGGTTAGGGTTAGGGTTTTGGTTGAAGAAGAAAGGGGTTTTGGTTGGAGAAGAAAGGAATATTTTGGTAATTTTATTTTAGGATAAAAATGTAATAAAAAAAATGTCATTAAGTGTGTGAGGAGAGGGGAAGTGGTGTGTGTAAAAAAAATGTCATTTCTAAATGTCTTTTCTCTCTCTTTTTTTTTTCTCTCTCTCTAATTGTTTATTCGATCATTATTTATGATTAATTTGTAAATTAATCTAGACTATATTACTTCTCATATTTTTTACATATTTAAAATAAATTAAAATTAATTTTAAAATTTTTGCAATCATAAATTAAATTAACAAATTTTTTAATTTTAAAAATAGATCCTACTAACTACCCCTCAATGAGCGTTGGTTAAGGTTCAAATAATATCAAAAAAATTAAAATTAAAATTTTAATATATATTTTACATAATTTCATACATTTTTATGTGTTTATATATATACTCACATCATTTTAATGACAAATGCTATCAAAAGCATTGTTTAATATTCAATTTGTGTAAAAAAACGCTTCAAAAAATAGTGAAAAACTTCAAATAAATTTTTAATTCAATAAAAGTATTTTGAAATTAGTAAAAAAATATCTAGTTTTTTTTTTTCTTTCTTTTCCTTCCAAGTCTAATAAAACCTACACGTGAAAAAGTTATTTGAAATTTAAAAAAGAAAATTCATTCAAGGCGAAAACCAACGAAAGATCAAAATTTTGCTTCTTTTTTTTACCAAACCCAACCTTAAATTTTGCTATTTTGTTTTTTTTTTTTGGGTTTTAAATAATCTCACTATTCAATTTCTTATATGAATAAATTAGTAAATTAGTGTTGATGACAGTTTAGATGATAATAAAAAATAAATTATTATTGGGTTTTTCATAAATATTAAAATTTTTAAGTGTATTTATGTTAGGTGTATATAAAAATTAAAAAAAAAATTGCTTAAAATATTAAAAACAAAATAGAAAAATATGAAACAAAAAATTTCAATTTTCTTAAAAGTTAATTTAAAAAACTCAAACCAAATAAATTGATATGACATGTTTGGCAAATGCCAAACCTCCTGTCAAATTTGACAGCAGAAATGACATTTGCTATATTTGACAGGAAGCAAATAAATTGATTAATCTTTGATGATATGGCATGTTTGGCAAATGCCAAACCTCCTGTCAAATTTGACAGCAGAAATGACATTTGCTATATTTGACAGGAAGAATAGCAGACCATTAGAAACTTTTTTTTTTTTACACTTGCCAAATTATACCTTTGGCACCTCTATTAGAAATGCTTTATCTAAAGAAAAATAAATAAATAAAATAAAAAATTTAGTTATAACTAAATAAGAAAATAGAATAACTAAGGATACATATAGTAAGAGGTGTATAATAGAATTATCTATAAAAATAATTACAAATCAATTGAAAACTTAATAAATATTTTATAAACTTTCTATATTATATATATATATTCTACATCTCACTAGGATGTAATTTCCCCATTAATAATTCCCACAAAATATGGGCCTTATGTAAAATTTGGAGTCCACCAGTGAGAGATGGGCCGGCCTTTGGAATGAACAGTAATATAGCTCTTTTCTTTTCGAATAAAATTAAAAAAATTCACCAAAAATCAAAAAATATATATTAAAAACTCGAAAATAGATTTTAAAATTTTTAAACTTGCCAAATTATACCTTTGGCACCTATATTGGAAATGCTTTAACTAAAGAAAAATAAATAAATAAAATAAAAAATTTAGTTATAACTAAATAAGAAAATAGAATAACTAAGGATACATATAGTAAGAGGTGTATAATAGAATTATCTATAAAAATAATTACAAATCAATTGAAAACTTAATAAATATTTTATAAACTTTCTATATTATATATATATATATATATTCTACATCTCACTAGGATGTAATTTCCCCATTAATAATTCCCACAAAATATGGGCCTTATGTGAAATTTGGAGTCCACCAATGAGAGATGAGCCAACCCTTGAAATGAACAGTAATATAACTTTTTTCTATTCGAATAAAATTAAAAAAATTCACCAAAAATCAAAAAATATAAATTAAAAACTCGAAAACAGATTTTAAAATTTTTACATTTGCCAAATTATACCTTTGGCACCTCCATTGGAAATGCTTTAACTAAAGAAAAATAAATAAAGAAAATAAAAAATTTAGTTTAAATAATATTAAGATTAAAATACAGTTATAAAAATATATTTAACAGACTGTACTTTACAATCCCAAACAAATCAAATATAAAAAAAGTTAAATATCAAATAATGCACACTAGCCAGTGCTCTGCAATTTAAAAGAAATTAAAATTAAAATGCACACCAGCTCATTAAAGAAGTTGGATGCCTTTAATGGTTTAGCCAATTTTCTATGAACAACAACTTATTAAAAAATAAAAATCAAATAAAGAGAGGAGCACTAAAGATTTAGCCAATTTTCTTATTTGTATAATTAATTTTACTCCCCAAAATTACTATATGTGAGAAACAGAATTCATATTAAAAAAATTTAAAGTAAAACCTACCAAGTATCCATGAGCTTCTTAAGACTCAGCACACAGATTGCAAAGATTTATGTGTAAAAAATGTTTTCCTAAAACAATATCAATCATCTGTGAATAACATAAATCCTGAGAAATCATTCTGAATGGGTACAGTTGATTCATCCATAAGACCATAAAACTAAATATTTCTCTCAATGCTAAACCACGGAAATTCAGGTGTCTTGTAGGTTGTCTAATTTTATTACTTCTGGTAATTTTACTGACATAAAGAACAAAAAGCATGATACTCTAATTTTGTTTTCTTTCATTTTTCTTTGCTTTCCCAGCAACCAAACAGTAGTTTTGGGCTAACAACTAACAACAAGATATTAGAGAGTGCCAAGAATGAGAAGAACAAATATCACAATAAAAACCTTACTTCAAGTCAAAAAAATTCAATTAACTCAAACCTAGATCTAGATATCTAATAATAGGTCATTTTCATCAAATAAGCATGAAATTGTACAGATTTAAACAATACGCAGAAACGGAAAACAATAATTTCAGAGAAAAAATATGATCAAAATCTAGAATTGGCAAGAGAATGAGGGTAATTGTTGGGCAATGAATGAATATCACCTTGGAGGTCTTCTCTGGGAGTAAGATTCCAGCATTGGTCTTGGATGGAGGAATGATATACAAATTTTGGTTTTGTCTAGGCTAATGAATCAAGGCAAGTTTTTCAGATACAGATGGAGCTCAAATCTAATTTTAATTTAAGATATTGTTGGTAGCTTAATAACACTATTGTTTATATTCATCTATAGTTGTAGACTCCTCTCAAGTCGTTTTGATGGTGAAGTGCGATTAAGATGATTAACAAACATCATAATGTTTTACTTTATCGGTCCTTCTTAAAAGATAATTTTTTTTTTAATTCTAAAATTTAAAAAGTTAAAATAAACTTTAAAACGTTCATTATTTTTTTCCTCTAATAAAAAACATTAACTATTTTTAAATATTTCATTTTTTTTTTTTTAAATATTTTTTCAACTTGTCTTGTCGTCCAGAAACTTGGGCATTCTTATATTTTGGTCTTACACATTTTCCATGCAGAGGTTAACTGGGCTAGTGATCCAAATTTCACATTTGAACTTGAGGATCTATAACCAACTTGCATGTTTGTTTACAGTATCTAAACAAACTTGATTTCCAAGCATTGTTGATCTAAAGATTTGGTACATATTGGATAAATTAATCAATTGACATAAAGCCATCAACCACAAAATTCCCCAGAAGGAAAAAAAAAAAAAAATCACAATTGACATCAAACTTCACCCATCAAAACTGTAGTAACTTTGATTCATATACCCCCAAAAGGAGCTATACCCATAAAGCCACAATAGATTTTTAAAAAGAAAAACCAAAAAGAGAAAAACCATTGTACATCACATAAGTCTAGTTAGCTCCTAAAACTCCTGACAAGCAGAACCAATATCCCATTTCCCTTTACCCACCTTCTTAGGCAACAGAGTCTGGTGAATGTGGTTTGTGGGTTTCTACACGTTTGAGAAAATGTGGGTGGTCATAGATTTTTTTTTTGAAAGAGTAAGGAGTGAATACACCAATTTATAGAAAATTCAAAAAATTTATATAAACATTCAGCGAAACATTGGAGTGAATTCACCACATTTGAAACAACACATGACAGAAAATAGTAGAAAAGTGAGCGAACCTTTACCTTTAGTTTGAGAAGAGTGAGCGAACCTTTAGTTTGAGAAGAGTGAGTGAAGTGATCTGTTTAAGGATTGAAGACAAAACCGAATATGTTTGTGAGATCAATTGAGAAGAGTGAGTGAAGTGATCTGTTTAAGGATTGAAGACGAAACCGAATATGTTTGTGAGATCAATTGAAAGTAAAGTGATAGCAATCAAACATAATAAAGTAAGCATGTCTGGGACGTGCTCTGCTGGAGAGTGATTGAGCAGCAAAAAAATAATTAATCCGTTCAAGTTTGGCTAATAATATTAAATGGTTAGAAATAGATGAAAGTCACACAACAATTAAAACGCCACTACACACTTGCCTTGATTCTCCTAAAACATAGAAGTCAAGTATGTGTTCCATCTAAGCTTCACAAATTGCAAATACCTACTTTCCTATTCTCCCAAGTGATATAAATCATAATTTTTGCGAATCCATCAATTTCTCTATGGAATTCTAGCGCCTCTCAATAATTTCTTAGATATCTTGTAGATTATAAATTACTGTGATGCCAAAGAATTCCCTGAATCTCTTGTCACTGTGTTTTCAGATCAACAATTTAATTTAAAAATTATTTGAAAATAAATAAACAAATAAAGAATGCATCTAATTTTGTACCTATCCCAATTTGAAACAAATGAGTTAATATGTTATCATTATTTTGGTGGGTTTGGCGTTTTTCATTATAAATTATTTGTTTTATTTATTTCTCAAATAGCATTCTTCTTCTAATCAAACACATGAACTATCCCAATTTGAAAGAAATGAGTCCCGGACAATTCCATGATCGAACCATTCTTCTTTATCGCGAAGCCACCACAGATGAGAGAGAAAGGTAAAGAGAGAGATCAAAGAGAGAATAAAGTCTGTGTAGAAATTGAAGGAGTAAATTGAAATCTTACCCCTTGCGAGTTGTAAATTGAAATTCGAAGGGTTGTAAGGGAATCAAACCAGAACCACCTCGAAAGCACAGCCAGACGGAACCGAGTGTGTTGCAGATTATAAATTACTGTGATGCACAGACCTCTACACATGCATACTGCATATTCTTAGTTGATTGGAAAAAAACAACAAAATAACAAAGTTAAACCTTTTTGTAAGTTGTACATACAATTTATTTATTTTACATTTTTTTTTAAATAATTGTACAGACAATTTATCAAACTTTCACATGCAACCAAAATGGAAGTCAAACAATATCCCCACCCCACACTATTCCAAATGATTTCTCACCCACAAATAACAATTTTTACAACTCTAAAATACATAACCACTATAAACCTACATCGGCAGAAAGAAATTCATAATAGAATCCAAAAAAAATACCTCCGCCAAACTCTTTGGCATTGGCTTCCCTTCTTCCTTTAACTTCAACTTTCTTATGTGCTTCTTTAGCCCAAGTGAACTTTGCTAATGTATTCTCAACATCAGCTATTGTGCAGTTACAATGCTTAGTTGCTTCTTGCTTTTGACTGCTTTGGAGATTCTACAATTAACAAATGAGAAAAGCCAAACGAAATGGTGAACCAATGAAAACAACTCCCACAGCATAAACAAAGTTCAGCATAATTTTATATTTATTGCTAAAATTTATTATTTATTACAGAAGCCTATACAATGACATTTTTTTTATTTTTTTATTTTTTTGATCGAACCATACCTATTTATCGCGAAGCCGCCATAGACGAGAGAGAAAGGTCAAGACCAGAAACACCCCGAAAGCACAGGCAGACGGAATCGAATGTGTTTGTGAGATCAATTGAAAGTAAAGTGAAGTAAACAAAGTGATCTGTAAAAGCATAGCCAGACGAAACCGAATGTGTTTCTGAGATCAATTGAAAGTAAAGTGAAGTAAATAGAGTGATCTGTAAAGTGATAGCAATCAAACATAATAAAGTAAACAGAGTGGTCTTTACCTTTAGTTTGAGAAGAGTGAGCGAAGTGAGACAAACTTGAAGAGTGAGCCGACTGATTTGGCTGGAGAGCAATTTCGAGAAGAAGAAGAAGAAGGAGTGTGAGAGATAAAGAGGGAATAGGGTGGGTGAGAACAGAGAAGGGAGATAGATAAAGATAGAATGGAGGGCCTTATGTAAAATTGAAGTCCACCAGTGAGAGATGGGCCGGCCTTTGGAATGAATTTTTTTGGGCTTATTTTGACTTTTAAAATTTTCTTATATAACTTTTCAAAAATAATTTTGCCGCAAACACGTTATCACACCGATGTTGTCATTGCCTCAAAAGCTCTCTCACAATTAATTTTTCCAATTATTTTTTATCAACTTTAATACAGACCTTCCATCCAAGACTGTATATGGAGAACAGTTTGACCTACATTAATTTAAAAGGTATAGTCAAACTCAAAATATATGCGAAAGTTGTTAGATTAAATGCAAAAATTTACAATATCTTAACAAGAAAAACTATGTATCATTCAATCTAAATGTAAAATGAGCTTAACCCAAACCTAATACTCTTACAATACTTTATGTAACGCTTCAAAATAATAACTTAAACCCATCAATAAGACATTCTCGTTGCTATAAACAAATCCACACCTTTAATTTATTCATATAGCGTTTCATTACACAAGTATTACATGTTAAAACATCAATCACAATGCCCTACGGCTACAGCTTTCCAAGTTAACATTGTTTACAAAAAGAGGACTAACTCGATACACAATTAAGCCTTGGCTGAAGTTACATTAATACATTCAAAAGTAAAACGACAAAAAGTGTCCGCCTCTAGCCTCCCAGCTATGTCCTTGAGTGGCATGTTCCTAGTACTGAAAATGATGTTCCCATATAGGGTGAGCCACAGCCCAAGATAACACAACTAAACAACATGGACATGGACTAAAACATTAGCAATTGAAGTTGTGCAACACTGATACAATCACATAAATTACATATTTATGTCCAACACTTAACAAGTCCCCATATTAATTTCATTTTCTCTTTTTCACATATAAGCATGCCATAGCTCTAAATCATCATGTTCCACAGATATGTAATATAAAACTATATCTCACATTCTCAACAGATATGTAATATCAACATATCCACAACAAGTCATAAGCAAGCTGTACCACATTTCACACAAATATGTATATCATACATACACGATACAAGCATACAAGCTGTATCCACACTTCACAAAGATAAGCATATGAGCTCATCTTCACTTTCTCTAGACAAGCATATGGCTCTGTCTACGGAGTTTATCCCCTATCTCCTCGCCAATAACTCTCCGGTTTAGAGTACAGTCCCCTATCTTCCCCTAAACCGCGGAGTACATCCCCTATCTCCTCCTCTACACATAACTAATACACAACACAAAGGTTTCTATATTACAATCACACAATACATATACATTAATGTATTTCTATCACCTGTCAATTCAATACACATTTCATGATTAGTTCAGTTTACTTATATCACAAGCATTGTCTATCACAATCACCGACTACCTCTACATCCGATAAGCTCAAAGCAGTTTATTCTAATAGACGAAAATAATGCACAATGGATATTCAATTCAACATTTCATTCCTCATTCCTCTCAATAATTATCCCAATTTAATTAAACAATGTGATTAGGTTCAATCCCATAATTAACATTTCAACCTTAGGTCCCTTCCTCAAGATTCAACATTAATTCGATTCCATGCCAAAACAATGCATCACGTTATATGAATAAAACCTCAACTTTTGTAAAAGTTACGCAAAAGCCTTCCAAGCCTTCACGGCAAAATACCGAAACCAGCCCAACATCTCAAACTACCAAAATTAAAGACAAAAACCCATAGAAGGAGTAGGAATATCCCTACCTCAATTCGTTAGTCCAAAGGAGAAGATCAAACCCAACGCTCTCAAAACCCAGATTTCAGATAAAAATGAGCCTCGACGACAAACACTTTTTGTAAAGCCAAATATGAGCAAATCACTCCCTACTAGATCAAAAGCCTAGAGAGAGTAGAAGTCACGAGTGAGAGGCTCAACAATGGTGATTTTTCAGAAAAGTAATGAAGAGAAGAGAAAGCAAAAGTTGATTTTGACAAAGTCACAATTTTCGGGACTTTACCATCTCCCCGCTCGAGGCGTAAAACACTCCGTCTGAGCGGCCATCACAATCTTACGCTCGACGCCAAGCCCTCGCCGCCGAGCGCAGAATGCACTCGCTCAGCACTTTGCATTGAACCGAACTCCGCTCGACTGCTCACAACCTAGCGCTCAGAGCGTTACAGCACTTGCACAACCAAACAAATACTGAATGGTGTATTTCCACGCCGACCGCGCGAACATCTACGCTCGATTAGCGACAGGCCAAAAATCTGTGCCAAACTAGTTTTGGTTCTAAAAAACTCACCAACCTGAAACAAAAACCCAGCCCAACACATCCCATAACTCAATATGAATGTAAAGAGGAGCATAACAAATAAAGTCAACTACCAAATCTTACAACACAAGTCTGGATCACTATACAACAAGGTAGAACCGAGAAATCGCCTATAACTCCCCCTTAAAGAATTTCGTCCCGAAATTAATCACCGTTTCAAAACAAGTTTCCTCCAATTTTTAAAAACAATGTTATATTTAACATTCAACAATTCTCGAAACCCATTACCCTGTCCATTGCCCATCCTTAAACAACGAGACATAATCAACAATATGTACAACAACATATTAACTTTCACATGCATCAAACATTAGCAACATCCTTCAATTTCACAATAGTCAACAGATAAATTTACTTCACTTCAATATGACGCAAGTTCCAAAACATACTACAATAATCAAAACATTCCAATGTTCCACAACTTAAGACATATATAAAAGCTCTTATTCAACAAGATGTTAAAAATCAAATACAAGATTAACATATCAATAAACAAGTCGGATATTCCAAACGGACTCCAACTCACGTTCCCAAGTGCTTCCTCCACTCGTGATTTTCCACACAGACTTTTCTCACTCAAAGTAAATGGCTTGCGAACGTCAAGGACCCTGATCCCCAGCCATCCAAGAACCCGAAAACTGGTCCTCCTCATACGAAGCAGTCCTCAGCTACTCTAAAATCGCGCCAATTGTCCAGCAATGTGATGGATCTGGCTCATACTCGAAGCATACTCACATGAAACACTCCATCAACTCCGGAAACTTCGGCGGTAAGGCTAACCGATAAGCACCTCGCCCAATCCTCTCAAGGAATCTCAAAAAGAACCAGATAAATCCGAGGGGATAACTCCACTCTCCCAGAATCTCATCAACCTCGCCTAGTGATATCTTCAGGAAAGACATGATTCACCGTAGCCGTCAAGACTCCAAAAAGCTCCTCCTACCGTCGGCATAATCTTTGTCGAACTTTGGGCTGTAACAACCTCCTACGGATAAGTTCAACTTTCTCCGTCGTTCTCCCTCAACCACTCCGGACCCAACAAGGTGCATTCAACCCACCTCGGCCCAACAAACTGGAGACTACAACGGTCGGCCATGACAAGGCCTCAACGGTGCCAACCGATGTAGACTGAAAAACTGTTGTTTGTATGCAAACTCTACCCAGGTAAGTGCCTCTCCCACGTCCCACAAAGTCCATGACCAAACGCCGAAGCATATCCCGAGGATAGCTGAAATTAGTACGCTCCGACGCCCCGTCAGTCTGAGGATGGAATATAGCCGTACTACAGTCAACTTCGTGCCCAAAGCAGCTCTGCAAAACTCTGGCCACAGACCTAGCAGTAAACGAGATCTGCTATCTGAGACGATGCGACACGGACCCGCACCGTGCATCTCACTACGTCCCGTAAATATACAAATCGCAAGATGATCTACCGAATCTCTCACGCGCAATGAGGAATAAAGTGCGCCGACTTAGGTCCTAACACAGTCTAACAACCACCCAATAGCATCACTACCCCCCGCTGAGTCCTCGGAAGACCTACAACGAAGTCCATAGTGACATGCTCCCAACTTCCACTCGGCAATACAGGTGCAACAAACCGCTGGCCTCTGATGCCTCGGCCTTCACTTGCTGGCAAGTAAGCACTTTCGATACGAAAACTGCCACATTCTCCTTCATACCCGCGCCAACCAAAACGGCGACGGAACCAAATCCTGATACATCTTC